GGGCATCACCAAATTCTCGTTTCAACTCGTATTTGTGCTATGACGAACAATTCTCTCGGTGGTACCAAAGGATGAGACCAGAGATGTCCAACATTTAGAAAGCGGCAAAGATAGAAGAAGCCTTATCACTAAGCTGTCTTTCCATAGATCCTGTGGAATATAGACTTATCGGAGCTCTTTGCTATCTCTGGTCATCATCGACTAATTGCTTTTTCCTGCCCCCTGATTCGGTAACCATTACTTTGCTTGATATGTGGTCATTGACTGGCCTATCACCTTTTGTGGAATTTTATAATCAGAAGTCGTGGTCATATCCAGATTTTTATGGTATCTCTTTCGTTGATCTCTCATTTCCTGACTTCATTAAGGAATTTAGCAAGCCAGACGGACCAATAACTCCTTAAGAACATGTTGCATTCCTGCTTTGTTGACTTTGTCGATATATCTTTTGTACCACTTCCATATCATGTGGGTTTGTGGACATCGCATACGCCCTTACTCAGAGTATTGATGTGGGATTAGGTCGAATGGCCTTGTCCGCCTTGTATAAAGGCCTGACCGATGCACAATCTTCATTATTTAGTGCGCATCCTGATCCTTTTATCGGTCCGCTGTGGATATTGCATGGTTGGGTTCGATCATATTTCCCTCATCTGTTCACGTCTTACGGTTCTGCACCTGTCGACTGGTATGATGCATAAAAGCAACCCATAGAGACTGTTTTTGGACCTTGGAAGTTTTGTAGCGTTTTCCTCCAGCCAATTGGAGGGCTTCCGGTCTTGGAATACTTCCTGGGTGTTTTGCTTACCTTGAAAGACTTCACTTTTCATAGGTTTGGCGTAAACTTCGTGTGTGATCCATCAACTATACAACATGACACCTTAATATTTTGGGCAAGCATCCTTGTTCCCACCGATCCTCCACTGAAATTCACTTTTGGAGGAAGGTTTTCTATTGGCTTTGAGGCATACAACCCCCATTACTGTGCCCGTCAATTTGGATTGATGCAAGGTATTCCTATGCCAATTGTCTACTCTATGAACTTCCCTTATCCTTTGTCTCCACAGAATGATCCTCTGTCATGCTACAATGAGGTTGCCAAATATATCCTGGGACAGTTCAAGCTTGTCGATAATTTCAACACTCCGTATGGTTCAATGTCATTTAATCAATGGTGGGATGAATACAAGGTCTTGATTTTTCCTGAAGACCTGGATTCTACCTTGTCGAAGATAACCGTGCTCCCAATGGGATTGTTACATCCTTTCAGGAGATTTCCTATGTCCGATATGCCCTTATCTCCGAGCACGCCATCATTATCTTTCTCCGATATGGATGAATTTTTAAGCGAATCAATGGACGAAGTGAGCTCTACTATGGATCATTCTTCCCTTAAAGCTCCTCAGGTTAACAACATTCGAGTCATTGAGGGTAAACGTCATTCGGTAAGCAACTTTTTTGCTCCTACTAATCATGATGAAATTCGCTCGAATGGAGCTCAACTTTGTGAGCTCTTAAAGGAAGGGTACAACGTCATTTGCGACGTCCCAGAGATCGAAAGCAAAGTCAGGTCCTTGCTTGACTATCTGACTAATTTACCTTACCCTTTACCTTGTCGAGCTCTAGAATTTGCTCTTCATGAATTCTCTGATTCATTCGATGTAACTATGAAGGCTTTTAAGGTAGGGCTTAAATATGTTAATAACATCGAGGGCAAAGAGAAGACCTTGAGTCTTAAAGAAGAAGAGCTAGATGGGGCCCGTAAGGTCTTTGAGGCATTCCGTATTAATGAAAGCATTTCTCTGTCGACGCTCTTCGATCAAAGCAAGGCTATATTAAACTTTGAAGCGACCGTGAAGCAACTGAGCATTGAGGTGGAGGACAGCCAAGCCAGAAAGGACGAAATCTTGGAATTAAACTGTGATCGAGAAGTCCAACTTCACAGCTTCGTCCTGGGCCTTGAACAACATTTCGCTTAGTTTACAACTAGTACCATCTTTTTTTTTTCTTTTCCCATGTCATTAATGCCGAGAATAGCACTGATGTAAATATCTTTATTGCTCAGTTTTTCCTTTTATCTGAATAATCATAGTCTGCGCCTGCTTTGATGACCTGTATTGAAAAGTCAGTGCTTTAGTAAAATGAAAATGATGAAAAGCACCACTGTTCCTAGGAGAAGACAATAACAAGACCAGACCAATTCAGCCACAGCTCCAGGAAAATGATGAAACAGCCCGAAGACCCAACAAAGTTCTTGCGTTGCAACCATCCAGAACCATCACGGGCATGGTAAAAAACCTGAAATTCATACATAAAGAAAAATCAACTAGAAATCATGCTCTAAAGACAAATGCAAATATGTCGATTAATGAAGTATATTTACTCATCACAAAATCGGAGTTTCCACAAAAGAAAGTCTATTTACCAATGATAATATCCTCGGTAAGACAATCCAAATCTAAAAACAAAAAAAAAGATTAAATAAAATATTCACTCAATAGATAAATATGTGAATGAATTACAAGATAAAAAGAAATAATGAAATATACACGACTTACCCGACTCAAACTTTTCCGCGTTCTCAATGCACTCTTCAACATTAATCGGCACGCGAACGGCTCTTAACCAATCTTGAGTGCAAATCAAACCTTCCACCACTCTAGGAGTCAAAGAACTTCGAAAGCCGTCAAGCACACGTCCCGATGTACTAAAAGCCGAGTCCGAAGCAACGGTAGTCACGGGAATGGACAAAACATCCCGAGCCATCAAAGATAAGATTTTATACTTTGACCCACTACTCTTCCACCACATCAAAAGGTCCAGATTAATGACATCTTCACTTTCGGCTTCAAGATACCGATCAAGCTCAGATTTGTTTTCATTAAGCACTTTTTTCTTCGCGTGAAGAAAGCTTTTTCGCCAAGCTTGGATGTCATCCTCATTGTTACCAATTGTAGAAGTAAAGAGTTATTGGACGGTTTTAGCATGGTTAGTTCTTTTGTGTGTTATCCATCCGCTGTGGGTGAATATTTGGTGAACTTTCTTTGCTTGAAACAAATGGACAGGATTATGCATTAGCTAATATAGTTTCATCATTTTCATTTTTATTACTTCGAGAAGCACATAGCACTTGTGAACATGTCAAGGGGAGCATGTCAATTGCTGGACATGGTGCTTGTGAATTGTTTATTTTGCTCCAAATTTCTGAAACCAGAAAAAAAAAAAAAAAGGTTATCGGGTAGACCCTGGAACCGGACCGGAAAAACAGGGTAGGTTCCAAAACAGGGTCTAGGGAAAACAGGGTAGGTTCCAGGTCCCAAAAACTGGGAACAGGTTATAACAGGGTGGCCTGGAACCGATCACCCCTAATGGCGATGTTCATCCAGACATGCCGTGGCAATGAGGTAAGGTCTGACTTGACACTGTGGATTTGATCAGCCACCGTGCCATTCATAGACAAGTAGAAGTTCCCGGCTATGACGGGATGTTCAGCCGTAAAGCGAGACGGGGCTTTTGTGGTGCGAGCGGGCAAGGATCTCTACTTCATTCATGAGCAGCTCCACGCTCCGGTAGCTGCGCTTGTATAGGAGCGGTTGACTGCTGCTTCTCGCCCATCTTGGAGTCTTCCTGTGAAAAATTTGTAGGAAATGCCTTTCGAGATAAGAAATTATCACCTGCAGGAACAGTGAATCGATATTTTCATACCATAATAAACAGTTCCAAAATCTCCACGTCCAAGTTTAATGGAAGCAAAGAGTTATTTGTGGATTCTTCCAGTTCGCTTCTGGTGAAAATAGGGATCCCAAACTAGACACAGCTGTCTTCCAAGTTGAATTAGAGTGAGGATCTGAGGTGCTGTTTCCCAAATGGGACTTCAAAGAAGCCTTCTTCCTTTTCAAGTGGATCTTATCGGACAACAGGACAATGTCCAAGCTTCCTATTCCAATACCTGACGAACAAAGAGAAATTGAACTTTGTTCCATATAGCACTAGATCTCTGGTACAGCTATAAGTGCACTCACTTATCTGACAAATTTTTGTTGATTGTGATGATGATGATGATGATGCTGAGGTTGTTGAGAAAGGGGGTTAAAAGCAACTATATCTGAGGTGAGATCGATGGTTAGCAAACTTTGAAACCATGTCTTAACTATTTTCCTGCTTTTCAAAAAGCTAAGCAGAATTATTCACTATCTCATGAATATGCACTGACAAATATTTTCCTCAGAGAAGGGGAAAATCAATGTGCTAAAGTATTGTTGATTTTCCCTTTTTTTTGGGCTAAAGCTATGTATACATGTTCAGCAGTTTCATGTCCTTTTTGGAGGTGAAAAGAAGGCCCTTGTTATTGACGTAGCATTGTCATCTTTTTGGAGGATCCGCATATTCTGTCTTCTTACACATCTGAAAGTGAAATGAAGGCCCTGGTATTGCCAATTCTTTTATTGTCTTGTGCTATCGACGGCTTAAACATGGAATGTTGACTTGGAAAGACGAAACAGAAGACTTGAACAAGAGATTCTTAGAAATGCCATGGTAAAGAGACTCAACTGAGCAATAAGTTATGTCATCCACGACTTCCCTCTTGATGATGATGGGTCTTTGAATGTGAGAAACTGCAATTTTAGTGAACTTCCACTAATCTTGCCCCTATTGACCGGTAACTCAAAGCATTGACCCGTCCAATTTTGGTATGTCCCCTCAAGTGAACACTTTCCCAGAAAACTTTTATCTCCTCTTATGCTCACTAAAATCAAACCAGATAAGCAAGATTGGGAAAAAAGGAAGCATGGAAAAGAACAGAAATAGTGGGCCTTTTTAGAATACTAGGCACTCTGATGGAAAAACAAACTCCAAGCAGCAGCACAAGGAGGTCTATGAAACAATGCGAAATCACAGAAAAGGTTGTTCTTGGCATAGCCAGCAAAATTTCTTGCGAGGTGATAGTGACAACATGACTTACTAGAGAATTTGAAGACCCTGTCACAGGATTAAAAGCAGGATAGAAAAACTAATTTGAACCCATGTGTTGAATCTGCTCAAATACGTATTTTTAACAGTAAACCTGCATATATTGTCCAATATTATGTGCAAGCTAGAGTGACAATAGCGCTTTATTACCACATACATTCCTCCATATTCAGACCAGGCAATGAAATTGGTAACATCTCAACTCGCGTCCTCATGTGTGCAAAATATCTTACAAACAGCTATAAGGAAGATTTAAACATCAACAACGGGAACAGAACAACTGCTACTACTGCTAGCCCATTTTTGAGTTACCGAAACAGGTGAATGAGTCAACTGCATGTTCTTCAATAGCTGGACCTCGTCATTATTCATCGGAGATGGAGCAAGGGTATCTTCACCCTCATCTGCATCGACAGATTTGTTCACAGCATTCTCATAACGTGCAATAGCATTCAGTTCTTTTAAAACCTCGTTCATTGAAGGCCTCATTTCCTTGTCCTGCTGCAAGCATCGGAAAGCCAGCTCTGCCACTGAAGTTGTCATCCTATGAATTTCACTATCCGACTCAAATCCTAGGGTCGGGTCGATCAACTTGCCAAGTGCGCATGTCTGAATCTTGTTTATGGCAAAATTGGCCAAACTAATCTCGTGCCTCTCTCGGCTTATGTCCACAGCTGGCTTGGACGATATAAGCTCGATGAGAACAACTCCAAAGCTATAAACATCGCTCTTCTCGGTGAGCTGGAAACACTGATAGTACTCGGGGTCCACATAACCTGGAGTCCCTTGAGGAGCTGTTGAGATATGAGATACATCATTCGGGAATAGCCTTGAAAGCCCGAAATCTGCAACTTTAACGCCAAAATTCTTCTCGAGAAGAATGTTTTTAGTTTTCACATCACAGTGGACAACTGCAGAAGCGTGGAGGTAAGTTAGTGCAGTAGCAGTCTCTATGGCGATGTTCATACGGATTCGCCATGGCAATGTAGGAGATGAATTAGCTCGCTGGCTGTGGATATGATCAGCGACAGTGCCATTCGAGATGTACTCATAGACCAGTAGAAGTTCACGGCTGTGGCGAGAAGTGCAACCGTACAGAGACACGAAGTTTTTGTGTCGTAAACGGGTTAGGATTTCAACTTCATTCATAAATTGTTTTACCCTCCGGTAGCTGTGCTCGTATAGGCGCTTTACTGCTACTTCCCTCCCATCCTGAAGTTTTCCTGTCAAAAGAAATTGAAGGATGCGTGTTTTAGGATACTATTTTGACCCTTAACTGGGAAAAACATGGAGGAACCTTTTCTTACCGTAGTAAACAGTTCCGAAACCTCCATCTCCAAGTTCATTGGAAGAAGAAAAATTATTTGTGGCTTCTTCAAGTTCGCTACTAGTGAAAATGGGGACCTCAGAGTATACACTGCTTTCCTCCATGTCTGGACCCGGGGAAGGACAAGGAGTGATGTTCTTCAGATGAAACTTAAGAGAAGCATACTTCCTTCTCAAGTAGATCATATAGATGAATAGGCAAAGGGCACCGACCAATCCTCCAATTCCGACACCTGATATGCAAGGAAATTTCAATCTCGCTCTATGGGTGACTGCAGAGGAGGTTAATCTCAGGAGACTCGCACAGAAAAGGGACATCGTTTGAAAAGCAGCTTCCAATCTATCGGATTTCTTGCAACTAAATTATGCAGTTTACCAGTATTTAGGATAATACCCAACAAGTATGCATTCTTATTAAATCAAAAACAAAACGTGTATTTGACATGTTTGAAGGAAAAATTTGAAAAAACCCCTTAAGTAGCCAAAGGTTCCACATTGTTGAAACTATGTGAGTTGGTAATATAATGGGAAGTATTAATTAAAAGCCAGCCTCATTTACTTTTTATACCCGGTTTGCATCGGAAGATTTCTGCCTGCATAACTGTCAGAAATTTAAACTATCCAACTGTAATTTTGCACATTATTTTAAGTGGCAAGAGGATTTGTTCAAGTTGCCAAATAGTAAATGCAATGCATGAGTAGTTAAAATATCTGTATTTACCTAGTCTTATCTTCTGCAATAAACCTCCGTTTCCTGCGCAAAAGTTGATAATCAGTTTTATAAAAGATTTCTAAATCTAGTGTAGATAGTCCACAGATTCGGATTCACAGACTAGGATGTAGAGAACAACTTGAATCTTTGATGAATCTCATTAAAGAGATCTGTTCTTTTACCGATTAGAGAACTATCTTGTTTAGATTTTGTGTTTCACAGCAGTGCCTTAGCAGGCACCAAAATTTGCATTATGAACCTAGGAGAAAAGTTCGACCAAAGAAAAACAAAAAAAACCTAGGAGAAAAGAATTCGTCATCAAAACCTTGGTCAAATAACAAGGTCATCCTTTAATTACAGCCAGGTTTTGACGGATGAGCCTCACTATGCTTGGAGACACAAGAGGGCGTAGTGACACAAGATCTCATGCTCCTGATATCGTTTGCTTATTGCAGTGAGTCCCGGTAAAACTTACCAGCATCACAATCTTCGCTACTGGATCCGTCAGAGCAATAGCAAACAAAGTCTTTCTCATTTGATCGGCCACATCGGCCTCCACTGCGTATGCACTTGGCACAACTCTCTTTGGTCAACAATGTCCAATGCATTGTGAACCCATCCTTCAGCAGCGTCGTGTAGTTAACACTTTCCATGGTTGGTTTTGGGATTCCCACCTTCAGTTCGACTGGTATTGTACTGCTCGATTGACAGGATCCATTCTTCTGTATTGGCCATTCTTCCTTACGTGTTAGCACAACAAACGTGTAATTTGAACGATCAGAAGTGCAATTTAGCTGAAATTGAGGGAAGCGTGTAGAAAATGTGTTAGTGCAGCCATAGAAGAACCATAGGTAATGGTGGAAACTGGAGTTCTGGAAGAGCTTCTCATGATAGTAGGTGAAGGGATGAGGAACCAAGCAACCAGTGTCGGTCATATACTGATTCGCTAACTCAAAGGACCGCTTCTCATAAGAGATGCTTTGGATGGAGAAATTGCCATACATAATGTTCCCTCCTTCACAGCTAACCTCGAAGCCAGGGTAGCCACAAAGTTCCTTCCCACTTCCAGAAACATAAAAGGGATAGCTTATGTTCGGACCACTCTTGCTACACATAGCGGCCTCACAATCCTTATATTTCACCGAATGAACTGTTTCTACTAAGACAGCCATGAAGAGGATATGAAACCCGATGTATACTAGAAGTCTGGTAGTATCATCATATAAGTGTAGAAGCATCTTCTGACTCGACAAATATGGTTGCAGCATGAAGAAGAGAACTGTTATAGATCAAAGTGCTTTGCGAATGAAGAACATCAGCATCAGCTAGAGGAGGCTATTTCTTGCATATTTTGCTTGTCCAAAATGAACTTCTTGCCGGTTAAACACGTTAGTTGACTTGGAAATTAAACATGGAGGACTTGAAGAAAGAGACTAGCCTGGTAGGGTTGGGACAACCCCAAGCGAAGAACAAATTTTGGGTCTCTCATATGTGGTCCATCTCTTTAGGTCGGTGAAATCTGAAAACCTCCTCCAATCAGTGAACTTGCACTTTGTATCATTGACCAGTTCGACTCCTTGAATTTGCACTCATGTATGTCCTCAAATTGAACTCTTTACAAGCAATTACGCGCCAACCGCGAGGACCTGTCCCATTTGGTCCGTCCTTTGCCCCGTGGCTTTGTTCGCTAGTGTTAGTGAGGCCCATGCAGAGACTTCTCAAGGAGGTCAGCATCGTGATAATGCTCTCGTCTGAGCAACCTCACGATTGTGTCATAAATGTTCATCGAAATCGATTCCTCTTACAGGTTAGGTTTATTTTCACATACAAAGCATAGGGACGATTTGTTTATTCCCACCCTCGTTGCCAGTCTAAAGCTATCTTAGGAGTCAAACCTTATTAAGCCCTCTGATGTCAACGACCACTCTCCACCATGACCAGAGGATCATTGCAAATCCCTTATAAGCTTTCAACCTATAAATGCTTACTAACATTATATCATCAAGTCAGTCTAAGCAAGGGAAAATAACAGTAGAAGCGTCATAATTTTTATAGGATACTCATTTCAGTGCCAAAATTTTTCAATCGATCACTTAAGTGTCACTTCCGTGAAAAAACGATCAATCAAGTGTCCCCGGCAATAAATTCTGGCAATTTGTCCAACGTGACATTTTTTAATGAAATTCTTACTTGGCTATCTTAACAAAGTTTAAATCCAACCTGGACAAAGGACCAGACGATATGGCAAATGATATATCTTCTCCTTCATCTTCTCCGTCTTCATTTTCCTCTTCTTCATCTTCCTTTTCATCTTCAATGTCTTCGTCTTCAGCTAATAATTCACTTTCATACATATTTTTCTTCTCCTTTTTTCAACCATTTTCTTAACCACCATCTATAGGAATGCATCAGCTTTCTTGTTCATCTGAAAATGTAGCTCACTGGATTCCCCATGTCGAAGATGAACAAGGCTTCATCTTTCATTTTGGAGGATGAAGAAGAAGACGGGGATCCAGGCATGGTAGGAGGATTAGCAAGAAGAATTTTGTCTCAAACCCAAACATTATTAGTGTCATCCAACAAATATAGGAGAATGATAAGGCCGTCCTTTCCACCCAAAGACGCAGCCTCAAACATAACCAACAATATATTATCAAAAGAATATGTACATCCCAACTAACAATTAAACCCAGCAAACTCATCTCAGTTATAGACAGCTTGGAAATATACAGTTAACTAAGCCCATACCCAAAAATCCCTTTATCAAAATGCTCTGACGATAACACGAACACTCTTGTACTATTGGCCGCTAACTGAGGGACCTAAAAAGCACATAAGACGAATGAGATGACCAACTACAGCCCGGTGAGTAGTACATCTCTTCTAAGCAGATAGAACATCCACTATGCACTTTACGTAGCAATATCAGAACTCACTTATCTCAAATCCAGTATATAATACACATACAAGATTAGAATGAGTTATATCACTTTAAAATAATCATACACATATACATAAACATTCATTAAATCCATAATATTATAACAAACATCAATGGTCCAGTCATTAATCAATCTCATATTAAATCACATGTCAGTGGTCCATTCCACTAGCCAATCTATTACTCAATATCAAACCATGATCACGATACAACACCCGGTAACAAGGCGACCAAGATTTCCCCCATTGGCAAGCTCTCCACCTATTAGCAGCCGGTGGCTCGGCTTAAGAGGATATTCTCATACCAGTATGCATACTTGGAAACCCCTAACTAGTTTCACAGTGATAACGAGCATCAAATCATCATTCTCTATACTAGAAATTCAATCCAAAACCAATCATATAAACCATAATACATTTCACAAACCAATCATATAACATTTTGCAACTCGGCTCATCCTCTAGAAATACTTTTCGTAAAGCATTTCTCGAATCATTTCAGAGCTCATTTCACAAACCAGATTCATAAAGTAATACATATATATAAATTTTCACAATACATTTCATAACACGTTTCTAAAACCATTAATAAATAACCAAATAGCAATAAATGCTCGATTTAGATTTTTATGCAATAAAAATGACATTTCGTTACTCATAATATATCTACTATGATGTAGGGGTGAGCGGTTCGATGATCGGTTCAGGTTCAATCTAGAACCTAGAATCTACCTATCAGAACTGATTCCCAAATTTTTGGAACTTGGAACCAACCTTGCATACTCTAGAACCTACCTTCTCATAGGTTCTAGGGACTACCCAAGTTCTACTTGTATAATAATTGAATGATTATAGTGAATCATCACCTCTAATAAACATCGTTCGCTACTACAATCCACTGAAAACAACTCATATTTAGACATATTAAAAATATGAAACATTAATAAAGTAAAAGTCTCAGTTATGGATATTGTCGAAAATGGAAGCTTAGACTAGTGGTTCCAGATTAGACACTCGTTATCGGACACCATAGAATACCGCAGGATTGCACGAAAATATAGAACAAGAAAAACACAAATACTTGTTTTAGGTTCCACGTCCCAAGTTACCTGCAACTTGGAACTTGCCATTCGAAACCGGTTCCTCAATTTTTTGAATCTACCGGTTCCCAGTTGTACCCTAGAAACATGATCACCCCCAATCCATAATGCTTTCAAGATATGAGTTTATAAATTCGAAGAAGAGATAGCACCACTCACCTGAGAACTCCTATGACCAAACAACAAAAGTTACTCGAATTGTCGAACTTGCAATCTTATCAACTAAGCAAGAAATATCGTCAAAAATTGAGTAAAACGCTACCTCAACTACAAATCGGCTAAACCAAGCACATTCGTTAATAAAACGATTTCTACGTGATAACAAAACTCTCTTCCAAAGCGGATGTTCAAGATTATCCACAACGCAGAACTTGAGCATGAAACTTCAAAAATTCGCTCTGGTCAAACCGTGCTTCAAAATCGATTTCTGTCAAATTCCACATTTCTTTTTTCTCTGGTTCACAAGCTTTTCCTCTTTCTTTACTCTCGGTCGTGCGCTTTCTTCTTTATAATTAAGGCGTTGACATTTTTTTTTTACATTTTGACGTTTTGACTTTTTTTGTTTTCCTTTTACTTGGTCAAACCGCCAACTATTACAATTAGTCATGATGACGAATTGGCGCTGACATTGTCATCCATAACGAGTAAAGCATCTGAAATTATTTGGTCCGCGTCCAATGAAAATCCTAATTGCCTCTCTCTCTCTCCTTCGCAGTTCTTGATCGTCCAATTCTTAATTGGAACAGGCTTAATTTGGTGATATTCGTCTTGCTCTAGCTCCGTTGCAAATTCCAACATCTAATTTTAAGAAGAAAAATAATGTAGCCTCAATTCGCAAATTTGGGACAAATAACACACATAGACATCGTCGTTTAGGGAAATTCATGCCGACTCACTTTGCTGGCAAGCCACGTCAATCGATATATCATTAAATATTGTCACGTTGGATTTTCCGGCAACCCAAATCGGCGATGGCATTGAAGTGGTCATTTTTTTTAACGAAAGTGCCACTCAAGTAATTTCTCGAAAGCACTGTACGAAAGTTACGATACTTCTAATGTCATTATCCCATATCAGCAAAAGACTGAAAGAAGTAAAATGCCCAAATCAGCGAGGGCAGTTGGAAATTCCACACGCACACACACATATACCTTTTTAAGCACAATAGACAGGGAAGAAAGGTGGTTGCTGGTGGCCTATTCAAGAAAATTTCTTCGGAGGCGGTAGTGACAACGTGAGGTTTTGAGAAGTAGAAGACGGGTTATGTGTAATTGACCTGTTCTTGACGGGAAATTGTGGAATTGTGGATCTTCAGTGCCATTTCAACTTGTTATTTCAGTGCCTAATGGTGAAATTGTGGATCTTCCTAGTCCGAACAAACCTGCATTCACCGAGAGGCGAACAGCCACCAACAGGTTCCTCCGGACAAAGCCAGAAGAAATGTTCCGCCATTAGTATTACTCTTACCACAGTTGAAGGCAGATGAAATTAATGAGCATGCCAGATACAACACACTTCGTAAATTCAGCTCAGCGATGCAACTTATAGCCAGCTCATGTCTTGGTCATGAAACGAACTTGCCTGATGCTATTTACATGTCCTGTTATTGAATGCACGGTCTTTGTCGTTTCACCCTTGATCAAATTCAATCTTGCTTCCAAATGTATGAAGACCAATTAGTGGGAGAATAAATAAGAAAATTACTGTAGGTTGGGTGACAGTTAGGCATAGTTAGCACGAACAGTTCTTACACTTCACAGTTCTTGAGATACACATGCTTGTGTCATTCCAAAGTTGAGAAGAACTGTAGGTAATACTGGAAACTGGAGTTCTGGAAGAGCTCACTGCGATATAGGTGAAGGGATGAGGAATGTAGCAACCGGCGTCATTCATATACGAATTTGCTAACTGAAAGGATCGCTTCTCATAAGAGATGCTTCGGATGGAGAATTTGCCGTACATAGTTTCCCCTCCTTCGCATCTAACCTTGAAGCCGGCGTAGCCACAAAGTTCCTTCGCACTTCCAGCAACATAAAAGGGATAGCTTATGTTCGGACCACTCTTGCTACACATAGTGGCCTCCCAATCCTCATATTTCACCGACTGAGCTGTTTCCACTAAGACGGCCATGAAGAGGATATGAAACCTGACGTATCCTAAAACTACACTAATATCGAGATAAAAGTGCTGACCCATCTTCTGAATTAACAAATGTGGTTCTAGCATATAAAAGAGACAATTGTTATATATCAAGGTGCTTTGCCGATGAAGAACATCAGCATCAGCAAGAAAAGGCTATTCCTT